GCAGGGCTACTCAACTTTGGAAGCCCTGGGGTGGTCACAATGATACTCAGAGCACATATGTGTTCATTTTTTTTAATTGTATCCGTTGGTATATATGGTTGTGACTATTTTCTTCCACTACTTGATCTGAGGAAGTGGGTCTGGCCCACGAAAGCTCATCATCTAATAAACCATCTTGTTAGTCTTTAAAGTGCTACATTGTCCTGCATTTTGCTTCAGAGCACATGGTGAGGGATGCAACTTAAGTGTGGTTGCATATACATGCAAATATATGCAAATAGTTTATTTCACACTGACAGGCATGAATATAAAGATTAAGGCAAGACTACACAACACACAGACCGCATTTAAGTTAGTTCTTCTGATATTAATAAAATGCAATATTTACCCATTTTCCATGCATATGGCAGCACTTTTAATGAGCAAGTGACAGTTCAGGAATATAACTACTACAACACATATCAACAGAAGACCATTATATTGACTGCTTTTTAGTTTTGGTTCCCACCCATGGGCCGCAAACAAATGGGTCGCCCTGAGTAGCCTTGCTCTAAGGCCATGTCTACACTAGGGGTTTGTCTAGACTACATGGCTCCGTCCATGAAGCCATGGAAACTAGTTTACCCGGCATAGTCAATGAAGCAGGGATTTAAATAATCCCTGCTTCATTAAAATAAACATGGCCGCCGCGCTGTGCCGATGATCAGCTGATCTGGCACAGTGCGGCAGTCTAGATGCGGATCTGTCAGCTGGGAAAGCCTTTGCCGACCGATCCTGTAAACCTCATTTCATGAGGCATAAGGGATCGGTCGGTAAAGGCTTCCCCAGCCAACAGATCCACGTCTAGACGGCCGCGCTGTGCCGGATCAGCTGATCGTCTGCACAGCGTGACGGCCATGTTTATTTTAATGAAGTAGGGATTATTTAAATCCCCACTTCATTGACTATGCTGGGTAAACTAGTTTACATGGCTCTGTCGACGGAGCCATGTAGTCTAGACATACCCTAGGAGATTATTAAGAATTTACTAAGTTCAGCTTCTGAACACCCGATCTTACAAACTCTGTGTCCTCACTATGGGAAGAATTGAATGTAGTTCAAGGCAGGCTCCATTAATGTGGAAACACTACCTTAGACTCAGAGCACAGGAAGCTCTCTTGGGAGCTGCAGGAAGCCTCCAGGAGGCCAATTAGTTCTAATTATCGGCACTGAGTGTCCACTTGTATTTTGGACTTACAAGTTCAGGAATAGCGTTACTCCTCATGAAAAGCAAGACCACCGAGTTTGAATTCCACATCCCCTTATTCCAGACTAATGGGCTTGGTAGGGTGGACGCATTATTTACAAATTAGCACTTGGGGGGCTAATTTCAGACTAAGGTCCTAGTATAGACCAGGCCTAAGGTGCCCAGACTACAGTAAAACCTTGCCTCAATGAACTGCCCTGCCCCAGTGGTTAATTCACCATTTTGGGAATCTTGTGCCTTATGTGCGCTTACTCTGGGACAGCTAGTCAGGGATAGGTATGTGAAAGGTGCTTGTGTTTAAACTGGGTAGTACCTGTGCTCTGCATAGTATTAACAATTGTCCCTCTGTAAAATGTTGCATTTTGACTTCACAGATTGAAACTTGGGATCCCAGCCTTCCTTGTGATGGCGGGTGGAACAGCTGCCCAGGGCAAGGAAGTGGCCTTGGAAAAGTAAAAATGACTTGATGCCTGAGGTTATGCTTCAGGCTGCTGCTGAAAAGAAAGAAATGAAGGAGTGGAGGGACCACGAGAGGAGGGAATGGAAAGAGAATGCTGAACACCGGAATGAAGACCCTGATCGACTCTTGCACATTACGGAGCACCAAGCTGACATGCCCCAGGCGATGCTAGCCCTGCAGATGGAGCCGCTCCACAACTGCCCCCTGCTGCAGCTGATGTCCCCACACTGTTTTTCATGCGCCCCGTCACTGCCAACACCTCCTGTCCTTAGTTGGTACCCACTGCACTCCACACCTGCACCTTCACTGTCCAACCCCGCAGACCCCCATAGGCATCCAGTGCACTGGACCCCCCTCCCCATCCCCATGCCGTTTAGCCCTGCTGAAGTGCAGCACCTGTAGCAAAGCACATCAGACAGCAGGGTTGCATGGGCTACCTGGCCACACACAAATCTGTAAATGTGCTGGGCCCTTGCCTCCTCCCTTCCCCCCCTTTCTTCCCACCAAGTACGGCTGTGTCATGCTGCGTGGTTTGTTCTACCTTCATTGTTTTCAATAAATGAAATTCTTGGGTTTGAAAGCAGTTGTTAGTCCATTACATGAAAGCGAGCAGGCACACCCAGAAAAGCAACAGGCATCATAATGACCAATCACAGTCCCCCACTAGCCGTGCAGCCACTGCATTCCTGTGCATGGCAACAAATATTACTGACTTTTGGCATCAAATTGCTGCCTCAAAGTATCCCTCATCTTTATGGCCCTGTGCTCCTCTCATAGCACTGTTCAAATTCAGCCTCCAGGTGCTGTGCCACAGTGGTCCAACCCTGAGTGAAGCTTTCACCCTTCTTTTCACAAATATTATGGCGAGTACAGCACGTGGCTATATGCATAGTCATCAGCCAGGTCCAGCTGCCCATGCAAACATCCCAGTGGCCTTTTAACTGGCCAAAAGCACCATCCAAAGTCATTCTGCACCTGCTCAGCCTGTCCTTGAATGTCTCCTTGCTGCTGTCAAGGCTCCCAAAGACTTGCACAAGAAATATACAAATGAGATGAAGTGTGGAATATGGCCATGCCTCATTTGCATAATTAATGAGTGACTGCTTTTTGTGCAAGAGGCTTTTGCACAAAAAGGAGCCATCTACACGGCTCCTTTTTGCGCAAAACCCCTTTTCTTGCACAAGAGCCGTTCTTCTGCTTTATTTCAGGACAAACAGCTCTTGAGCAAGAGGGGGGTTTTGCACAAAAAGGAGCCGTGTAGATTTCTCCTTTTTTGCGCAAAAGCCTCTTGTGCAAAAAGCGGGTGCTCATTAATTATGCAAATGAGGCACAGCGATAGGCCACGCTTCACCTCATTTGCATATTTCTTGGGCAAAACAGCACAGTATAGTAGCCCCAGTGTATGGCTTCATGAGCCATGGCATTAAGGAGTAGTCAGGGTCTCCCAGGACCACAATGGGCATTTCAACTTCCCCCACATGATCTTCTGATCTGGGAAGAAAGTCCCTGCTTGCGGCTTCATGAAGAAGCCAATATTCTGAAAAATGCCTGTATCATGCACCTCACTGGACCAGTCACTGTTAATGTCTGTGAAATTCACACGGTGATCCACAAGCAGCTGGAGAAATGTAGAAATACCCCTTCTGATTAATGTACTCAGGGGCTAGGTGGCCTGGTAAAAGAATTGGAATACATGTGGCATCTATTGCCCCTCTGCTATTTGGGAAGTCCTTCCATGCAAAGCCACCCACAAGTTCATGCATGGTTCCCAGAGGCACAGTCTTTGGGAGCAGGATGTGGTTAATAGCCCTGCATGCTTCCATCACCACGTGTCCAATGGTTGACTTCCTCACTCCAAACTGATGACTGAACGGAAACTATCTGGAGTAGCTAGTTTCCACAATGCAGTTGTAACCCACACACTTAGTGTGGTTCACTGTCCCATGCAGTGGCACCTAGACCACACAACAGCTAAGAACAAGAGACCTCTACAGCATGGGCTGAGAGCCAGCTGGCTTTTAGCTCAAAAGGTAGAGGTTCCTATACTGAGCGTCCAGGTTCAAATCCACCTAGTGGTGGTTACACAATCGCCATGCGCTTATTCAGCTCTCATTCACATTCCCTTGTGCTGCAGAGTGCTGTCCCATGAAAGTGTCTTTTCTCATTCAAAAGTTCTGCAGCCACTACTCATTGTCCCAGATTCACATGCTTGTTTCCCAAGCTCAAAAGCATAGTTTCATTGTGGTCAACACCTCCATGCATGCCACAAGACATCTCGTATTGTAGATACTGTGCATGGCAAAATCAGTCTGACTCCTTGTCACTTTGCAGCTTGAGGAATAACTCCCCTGTGCCATTCGTGACATGTTAGTGGGAATTATCAGTATGTTCTCCAACAGTTTGGGATCCATTCCTGAAGACTGAGGAAGCGGAGCGTGCAGCACAACAGCCATTGCAAGATGGCACCAAATGTGGACAGAAGGACAGGGAGTGCTGAGATGTGTAGCATTGGGACAGGACCCAGAATGAACCATGATGCCCCCCCCCCATTCACCTTCCCATAAGTCTCAGCGGCTGAAGAAGAAGAGGCGCTCTGAGGGAGAGCTGCCCAGAGTGCACCGCTCTAAATGTCACTGCAAGTGCCGCAAGTATGGTCACATTACTCTGCGGGCAGCTGACAGTGTGGACACACAACAGTGATTTCACTGCTGTGCTCTGTGAACAGTGCTGTAACTCACAGTGCTTTACATCTGCCAATGCAGACAACCCCCCCCCCTCCCGCCCCGCCACCCCCAGAAGTGCAGCAAGTTACAGTGCTGTAAAGCAGCAGTGTAAATGGGCTTCCAGAACCAGGAGCCCAGTTCCTGGCCCTGGGAGCTAAGCTCCCTGTTTAAGTGGTTTACAGAGCGTGCTGGGCTATATTTCCACTTTATAGCAATGCCACAACAATACTTTAATTCATGTTTTAAGTGTAGACTTAGCCTTAGTGCCTTCCATCAGCTCCTGATTTAGGACTTTTACTTCCTATAATGTGATTAAAATGTGGCTTCTATATAACCCATTGAGATTTCTTTAACAAACTCTTTTCCTGGAAAAAACATATTCTCCGCCCACATTGTCATTACACAAAGTGCAAACTAAAACCCTTCTGTGTTCTTGTCACCTTGGATTTATAGTTCTCTAGTAAACAGATGAGATCAGCTTGAGAATGTTGTACACCCTGTTACAATAAACCTGGTTAATTAGTTTTAAAGAAAAAATAAAATCAATAGAATGTTCTTAATTTTCTCACATTGCTTTACTTTTGTTACATCATACTACACAGAATTCAGAAAGCCTTAAAAAGTGGATAGGCAGCTTTATTCTCCTGACTTAACAATTGGAAAGATGAAGCACAAAGAAGTTAACACATTTGACTAAGGTAACAAAGTGAATCAGTGGTCTCCTGAACAATCCATAGAAGGTTCTGCCTCCTGGAATATAAGTGAAAAGACAACTCCTTAGAAAAAGCTGTTAGTCTGGTGTTGTTTGCTTTGCATACCGCACCCCTTTATATTACCCAGAATCTAAATTGCAAAAGTGGCCAGACTTGCTTCCTGTTGAAAACAATGGTTTTGAATGACACATCACATCATAATGCATGAAACAACTGAAGCAGGACTGGATTGATGATTTTTCTACCATGTGGTCTCTAGATGTATTTCTGTATCTATTTCTAGATCAGAGCGAGGGACACTGGAACCTGCAGGCTGCTTGCTGCTTTCAATCACACAAGGAGTTGGAGAGAGCTTTTGTTTTGGTGATGGCTGTTGATGAACTTGTGTCAGTAACTTGAACGATGTGCTAGTCAAAGCACTCATTAAATGGAAGAGAACTTATTAAAATGGGGGGAACTGTCTGAAAATATGGGGGAAATATTCTGTACATACCAGATATGGCAAAATCATTGAAGGTTTATACTATTAAGGTCATGTATTGTGGTTCTATGGGGGCTCTAGCATAATCCCAAATTCAGGTTGAACCTCTCGGCTCGTGGTTTGGCAAACTCTCTGGTCTGGCACCAATCAGGTCCCGAGGGTGCTGGACTTGAGGGCTACGTCTACACTGGTCCCTTTTTCGAAAGGGGCATGCTAATTTTAAACTTTGGAATAGGGAAATCCGCGGGGGATTTAAATATCCCCCACGGGATTTAAATAAAGATGTCCGCCGCTTTTTTCCGGCTTGGGGAAAAGCCGGAAAAAAGCATCTAGACTGGCCCGATCCTCCGGAATAAAGCCCTATTCCGGAGGATCTCTTAGTCAAAGTAGGAATAAGAGATCCTCCGGAATAGGGCTTTATTCCGGAGGATCGGGCCAGTCTAGATGCTTTTTTCCGGCTTTTCCCCAAGCCGGAAAAAAGCGGCGGACATCTTTATTTAAATCCCGTGGGGGATATTTAAATCCCCCGCGGATTTCCCTATTCCAAAGTTTAAAATTAGCATGCCCCTTTCGAAAAAGGGACCAGTGTAGACGTAGCCCTCAAGTCCAGCACCCTCGGGACCTGATTGGTGCCAGACCAGAGAGTTTGCCAAACCACAGGAGGCCAATATTGTCTAGCAGCATTACCAACAATTCCACTGCTTACTGGACTCTTAAAAGACATTTAGGAGTAAATCAGAGCTAATTAACAGCACAGAACACTGAGAGCCAGAACTGGTAGCTGTAAACAAACTGTATGGGACTGCAGGAGGCTTGGCTACACCCAGGATCAGTGGACATCCAGCAAACTGAAATCATGCCAGGCAACGAAGGTTGCTGGACCAGAAAGTGCTGGACTAGAGAGGTTCAACCCATATGTGGTCTGGCTATCTGGGGGTATGTCTACACTACAGAGTTTTGTCAGAAAAATAGCCATTTTTCTGACAAAACCTGAGTTACATCCACACTGCAATCGTATTCTTCAAAAAGTAAATCGAAGGAACAGAGGGGTTTTTCCGGCATTGGTAATCCTCTTTCTATGAGGAAGAAGCCTTTTTCCAAAAGGATAGTGGCCTATAGATTGTGGTATTGGAGAGTTTTCTGGCAGCCTCCTTTTGGTAATCTGACCTATTCATGAGGACAACAGCACCTCCTTTATCAGCCTCTTTTATTACAATGTCAGAGCTGTTTCGGAGGCTGTGGATGGCATTGCATTCCGCACGGCAAAGGTTATGGGGATGCTGCTTTTTCACAATTTCTGCCTGTGCATGTTGGTGGAACCATTCTATGTATAGGTCCAGTATGTCATTTCGACCATCAGGAAGAGTCCATGCAGAATTCTTCTTGATGGTAGGAAGATATATGTGTGTCAGTGCACTGTTCAGTGTTGTGTTGAAAGTATTCCTTGAGTCGGAGGCGGTGAAAGTAGGCTTCCAGATCACCACGGAACTGTATCATCTTGGGGCAAGAGGGGAAGAGGGTTCCCAAGATAGGACAGACTCTTCTGCTGGGCTGAATGTGTAGTTGGATAGATTGACGATATTGCTGGGTGAATTAATAGTACCACTATTGTGGCCACATGTGACAAGTAGGAGTTTAGATAGCTTACAGTCCTTTTTCCTCTGTAAAGAAGTGAAGTGTGCATTCTTGGGATCTCCCCAGCAATTGATGTGATGATGGTAGTGGAGTATCCCCTTTTTTTTACAGTATCAGGTGGGAGGCCAGTTTCCATATCTGAGCCTCAAAAAGACAGGGATCCAGTTTCCAAGGAATTCTTATCTGTCTGCCCACTCCCTGTTGTTACCCTTTCTCTAGGGTCAGGTCACATCTGGTTCTGTTCCTTTGTCAGCCTTCACATAATTTACTGTCTTCATCACCTCATCCAACATGATGTGTGTTATCCTCCCCTGGGACATTTTCATGTCTAGAGTTAACTCCCCCAGCCTTTCATGTGAATACCGAGGTAGATGATTAACTGTAGCTAGATCTCCCTCTTTTTGTCAGTAAATTATCCCTTGCCATCTCTCACTGCCTCGTCTTGGTTTTAACTAACAATCTCATGAGATGTCTGACTCCTTGCTTTTGTGAGGGAACTGTTTAAAACAAAAGATATACATACATAAAACATGAACAGCACACGCTCCCAGACAGTCATTGACACATACAGTGGCAGCATAGAGACAGACACTTCTGCGGAGACACACATTGAAACAAACCAACACACAGACACACGCATCCACCCACCCACCACGCCTCCCCATCACAGAAACTGTTAGTTAGATGGGTAAGTCTGCATTGAGGCTGGCTGGTGAATGAAAATGTCTCATTAGTTCATGCAGCAGCATGTTTATGGAAAGCAGTCAAAGTGGTAGCAACTAATTTCCACCAAGACTTCAATTGTACCTTCTCCCTGGACTGTTTTTCCTGTGACCTTTTTGTAACCCGATTCGATTAATGTATGAGCCTGTATATTTTTGTATTCTAAGTGGGTGTGCAGAAGAATAACCGTCTCTGCTGAAACCATTCCCTTTCCCCAGGCAACACATGATTTCTGGATTTTCATCCCTAAACCATAGGAAACATTCTCTCCATAGGTAGCCCATATCTTCTTTTTTTCCCCTAAAATAAAGGTCACAGTAGATCCTTGAGCCTCTGACAGGTGAGCCTATCTGGTCTGGTTAGGAGGCTATCGAGGACCAGCATTTCAGCTGCCTCTCTGCCATACTACTGCCACTACCATATTATTCCTGCCATACTGCTTCTGCCCTCTGCCTTGGAGCTACCCCTAGGAGCCTCCTGCTGCTTGTGCAGGGGAGGGAAAGGAGAAGAAGGGGACATTATAGTCAGGGTGCCCCGTCTCCACCCTTGTACCCCATCTCCACAGAACACAGGGGCATGATAGGGCTCAGGGTGGAAGGAGCTTGCTGGAAGCTGTTCCTATGTCTGAATGAGTTCCACATATTTGAAGGAGCAATGCGCATCTCTGTCACTCACATACGTGTGTGTCCCAATCTCTCACACACACACTCTGTCACTCCCCAACCCAACACATACTTGAGTTGTTATTACTACTTTCAAAGTGTTTTATTTTAGGAAGGGGTGGAATCTCGGAGAAGGGGCGGAGACTGAGATGGGGCAAGGATGTTTGGGTTTGAGTTAGATCCTCCTTTGCCCTTAAATTCGTGAAGTGATCTTGTGCTTAAACAGATTGGAGCCCACTGCACTAAGAATATGGAAATAATTTGTTGGGACTACTGTTCATTCCATTACTCTCATTTGGATATTAATTTGCAGATGCTAAAATCCATCAACTGTAGAGCCTATTCCTTTGACCTTAAAATGGCTTGGTGGCATCCTGTATGCCTGGAAATAGATGACTGTCATGCCTGTGTTCCCAAACCTCTAGTTTCACAGCTCCTAACTGATCACACAAACTTCCTCCCACAGCCATTATCCTCTTGGTCTGGGACATTAAGAAACAGCATAGTTAATTAATGACTGCTGTCCTGTAACCCCACATTAGGTGGTGTTTCAGCCTTGGTTACAAGTTAACTGAAGCTGACACCCAAAGTGAGCTGACTTTCCAGCTGAATTCCTTTGTCTATCTGGTATCAAAGATCCACAAGCAGTTTTCATCAAAACAAAATGTGAAGAGGAACGTTACTTTCAGCTAGCTGTTTGCTCTCTCAGTATCTGTCTGTGATCTCCTAGTCTCTGTGCATTGGGTGATTTATTTATCTCTGCAGCTTCTTTTTTCTACAGCTTTGCTATCATTCCCATGGCATTGTTTTCCTCTGTCTGTATTTCTTGTTATCATCCCAAACACTTTGGCAAATGTTGTATTTATTTTAAAACCAATCCCATTTCCTCTACTCATCCTATCTTTCTGGTATTTTGATTCCATTGACCTCATCCAACATTTCCTCTTTTCGTGGTAAAACTAGGGTCATAGTATAGAAAATTTATGGTTTCACTTTAATCTCAATTGCAGAACTAACTAGGGCCAAATCCTGATATCCATGGTCAGAAACCAGTCTAAGAGGCCATATCCACACTACAGAGCCTATGCCAGCATAGCTATCTTGGTGACCCCAGGCCAGCATGACCTCTTGTGCAGATACAACATATGCTGACAAAAGTCCATCCATCTGCTAGCATGTAATATGAACTTTTGAACCATGTTGGTTAAACTGAGAGAAGCACTCTTCTGTTAGCACAGCTGCATCTAGCCAGATTGTTTAGTTAGAAGAGCTATGTTGGCTAGAAGGTGTGATTTTTTTCACACTCCTGGCTGACAGTGCTATGCAGTCATAACTTTGTATTTTAGTCCAGGCCCTTATCTACATGGGGATTTTCAGCCACATGTGTAGTTACAGTGATACAGCTTTACAGATGCAAGCCCCTAGGCTACATCTAGACTACATCCCTTTTTCGTAAAAGGGATGTAAATTAGACGTATCGCAATTGCTAATGAAGTGGGGATTTAAATCTCCCACGATTCATTAGCATAAAAATGG